CACACACCCCGTTCCCCGTTATATATAATACTTCGTGAATAGTCGTTTTTAATGGTGAAAGCTCCCGAATATAAATTATTTTTTAAGCCATCAGTTATTTTAACGTTTCATACTGGAATAAAATGACTAAGAGTGTTCCCCGAGATGTATAGTATACTACTACTACTACTATTACTACTACTACCATCATCATCACCATTATTTTGAACTCTACGAAACATTAAACTTTCTCTTTAGATTTCTTCTATCTAAGAAAATCATTAATTTCTTCCCTGTCATAGGAATATTCATCTCCGACCCCTATTTCGTAGTTTTCTCTCCTATCCTCTATCTTTCTTTCTTATTGCAAAGCAGCAACCGGAGATGACGAATTTGCGAGTCTTATCGTAAGAACGGAGATAAAGTGAAAAAAAAAGAGAGAGAGAGAGAGAGAGAAAGATTGTTGAGTTATCACGATGGAAGGGAGAGAACAACGAAAAGCTTGCTTTTACTATACCTTATTCCACCCCTCTTTCCTATTTAGGATACGAATTTGTTCGAGGGGTTGCTCGTTTCATTATCTTTTGATTACTACGACCTTTAGTTTAGTAGTAGTTTTTGTTCGATCAGATGAAAAACTAAACGAAAACTCGTTAGAAATTCTTTATTTCAAATTTAAAGTCATTTTCATGCAAACAAAACAAAAAATTAATATTTGCAAGTATTTTCGACAGTATTTTTTCTTTTTTTTTTTTTCGATACAAACAACGAGAGTCTCTATCTCGGTTTAGAATTTTATTCTACGTTATCGAGTATTAGATTTGTAAATAAATAATTTGTGCGATTTTTTTGTTTGAAATTATTGACAATTATAAATTATTGTTCTATACGAAACATCGATTTGAAAATAATACTATCGAAATTTTGCATCCCCTGTGTGTTTCCACATGTTTTATATATATATAATTAAATTATATAAAAACTTTTACTTATATGATTTCAATTTCAACTATAGTTAATAATTAACAAAATAGCGTAGACAAATTTCAACGTGATCCGTTTTTCTTTACTTTCTTTTTTTTTTTTTTATTATTTCAAAGCGACTTCGAACAATCGTGTTTTAAGAAAAAACACGTTCAAACTTATTCTCTCTCTCTCTCTTTCTATCTTTTTCTCTTTCTCTTTTTAACGATCTGTTTTGATAGTCAACAGAATCGAAGAAAGAATTCGAAATAAATCTCACGTTGAACGGTAATGTAAATTTCCTCGTTAATTTTCGGAAGAATTTCGGCTCAATTTACTAACGTAACTGATTTTAAACCACCGAGAGAAAATCTGTTAATTGACCCAGCATATCTTCTTTCCCACTCTCTCTCTCTCTCTCTCTCTCTTTATCTATCTCTTTATCTTTCTCTCTCTTTTCGCCCTTTATTATACGCCTCGTAAGCCAATTAAGGAACTTTCTTGAGGAATATTTTGATGGTAGGATCAACCTTTAACGCATTCATGTGCGTCCAATTATAACAAGGAGCACTGAAATGTGAATACGTAAGCGTATAAGTAACTTATCTGTGTATATATATATATATGTGTGTGTGTGTCTGTTTGAATTTGGCTTATGCGTACCGGACAATTTTTAATGTCAGTATTAATTTCGATTAATTTGCGTTTCTACTCATAACCCTCCCCTCCCCCTTTCTCCCCCTTCCCAATCCCCTTACCGCGAGTGTCTACGTTGATTATCGGACAAAATTCGATATCGTATATTATCATATTAACGATTATCACATACAGTTAGGTAAATCCAACGGATACAAATGAATTCGTTTGGATCGATGTCAAGTGAAAATTTGGCATATCCGTTGATGAAAAGCTATATAATGTTTAATAGAAACGGACTAAATCAATTTTGCCGATATTATTATCGATAATTTTTGTAAATAATCCTAATCGAGATCTCTCGAAATATTTTGATAATTCGTCGTATTATTGATCGATCGATCCGATGAGATTTGTTAGAATATATTTGTTAAAAATACAAAATGTGATTGATAATAATTATTTAATGAATAATTAAAAACAAAAATTTCATTTGTCGTTTTTAAAGTGTAATTAATTATTGGATAAGAATTGTTTATATTTGAAATTAATTTTCGTTTTAGAGTATCGTACAAATAACTGATTAGAATTAAAATCTAAATCACAGTTTTAATCGTTATTCGTGATTTATTATTATTCACTTTTTTATTATTTAACATTAAATTACTATTTGGTCGCTGAACTATGATTGCTTTTAAATTTGAAATTGTAATTCTACATTTTTAATATTATTATTTTCCTTCATTTTACGACGTTAATTCAAATGTAACTAATAGTAAATCTCATGCGCAACTTTCTTTGCATTGTTAGGAATAAGAAACTTTCTGGAAAATGGTTTTTTTCTTTTTTTCTTTTTTTCATAGTTTTTCTCATCATTTGTTTTAACAGTGTTCGTAATATTTCGCTTACTTTGAAACATTTTAATCTATATATTCGTTTGAATACGTAAAATAGTAGATGAGAAGGAAAAGAATGAGGAGAAGGGGGAGGAGGAGGAGGAGGAGGATGATATCACAGAATGGTGTGAGGTTGTGAAAAGCGAGAATGACATTTTTATCGTCGTAGTTCGTAGTCGTCGTCATCGTATTTGGCACCATTTTAATTAACTCACAATTGGCCATTACGTCAGTCACCGTGGAACCCATTTTACGCGTGAAACTCATTTTACTTGCACGTGGATTATATAGGGGATATAACGTAAAATAAATATAAATATACCATCCTATATATACACTCATCCAAAGTATACAATATAATACTTCAAATAATTCAATGAATCTGACTCTACGGATCCGTAAAAATAAACTCATCTACTATTAATCTGAAAAGATACAAAAAACAACATTAGCATATAAAATATCAGTCGTTGCTATTATCAATGGATAATATTTCATGGTTAAAATAAAAGTTCACTTGTAGAACTTGTTTTTTTTTTTTTTTTTAAAAAAAACGAAGAAGATTCTTCAGTAGGCCACCTTAGAAACACCCACGTATAACTTAATTATAATTACCAATCGACATCGATTATTATAAATATCAACTAAATGTTCTTCTTCTTCTTCTTCTTTATTGCAACTATTCTTGATAGCATGATAATAATAATAATAAATATAAAAAAAACATCAAAATTTCGATAAAAGCGAAAACAACGATCCAACAATATAAATCAAAATTACTTTAATTAACGATCAAATAAATTCAAAATACTTTCTCTACGTTATATATTTTGAATTAAATAACATTAGGTGTGTACGAGAAAAATCGCATCTGTACGAAAACACAATAGTAGCAATATTTTACACGTGTTACAGAGAATAATAATTTGCATTCGTAGAAACTCGTGTAATAATATATACAGGGTGGTTTGGTTGGGGTTGACGTTGGTGGGGGTGGGTGGGAGGTAGTGTGAGCCTCTACCGTATACTCAGAAAACAAACACATCGTCACTATAAGCGCATATAGCAGCAGCAGGAGGAGGTTGGGTGAAGAGAGATCTCTAGTGTAGAGAAGGTGGTGGGTATAGGAGGGGGGAAGGAAGGGACGAAGAGAGACGAGGTCACTTGCGTTTCCTAGTTAGGGCAATTCCGCACACTTTCGCACGTCGCAATTAATTAGCTTAATTCTCGCTTCCTGTTGTCTTGGATATATTATCAAGATATACTAGTGTGTAGGTGATACAATAGTAGTAGTAGTAGTAGTGGTGGGGGAGGGGGGATCGAGAGGGCTAGGTAAGGGGGAAGGGGTGGGGAGTTTTAGGATCGTCACGCACGCACGAACGCATGCATGCATGCCAGGAGGGCACATTCCGCATAACGTAGTTTCTCAACTCGTGAGTTTACCGATCTCTCTCTACATCCGGATGAAGAGAGAGTGAGAGAGAGAGAGAGAGAGAGAGAGAGAGAGAGATACATATATATATATATATATCTATTTAATGGTTATATGGTTGTGATTACGTCACAAGCATGAACCCTGAGACGTCGATCTGCGTCTCCGTGCTTTGCGTTTACGTGCTTGTACCGTTTCCGGAACAGCAACAGCAACCGTCACTTGCCTTGGTACGGTTAGGTAAGAAGAAACCCTTCTGGCATTGTATCTAATTAAGCTTACCTCGGAGTGTTCATCCCTTTCTGTCTATCTGACTGTGTCTGTCTTTCTTTACTCTCTTTTGTTAGCTCTTATATTTTCTCGAGATGATGTTTTGTTAAAATAAAAAATAAAAACTTTGGTTGTGTTGCATAAAGGGTTTATTATATATGTATGTATTTTAACTTTGATAGGTTTATTTTTTAATTATTGAAGAAAGTAATTTCTGTTATATACGAGAGATTTGTTTAATATATATGAAAGGAGGATTTTGTATAAAAATAAAAGGATCTTAGGTGTTGTTGTATTAAAGTCTTATTATAATATATTTGATATAAGATTTTGATTAGAAAATATAACGAGAAGTACATTTATTGTTGCATTGTTTGTTGGACACAAATTATATTTCATAAAATAAAAAAGTAAAAAGAAGAAGAAGAATAATAATATAACATAATAATTGTATACTTATCAAATAAGTTTATTTAAATCAATAAGAGATTTTTTATATAACGTAAAGAAAAAATTATTAATTGCATAAAAGAAAAAGGTTATAAATATTTCTACTATACTTTCATTAAACTACTTACTCTATGTTTCAAATAATTTCTAATTTTCAAATATGTATTTAAAAAATTAATGAAATGTTTCACTATCGAAGTATTAAAAAGATGGACGGGGTGGGATGAAGAACTGAGGGAGGGGATTACTTTTAATTCTAACATGATTGAAAAATTAATTTAAAAAAATAATACGTTGACACCATGATGTTTAATACACACACTAAAGAATAATAATAATATTAACTAAATAGAAATTTTTAAATTTCGTTTCAGGTAATGCAAATGCAACATCGTTGGAAATTTTACCAAGTGGGGAGACGCAAACGAAACCGATCGGATCGAGCATTATATTAACATGCAAACCTAACGTCGATAACCTTGGACTGGTCAGCGACATGCAATGGCTAGATCCACAGAATCGCGTTATAGAATCTCTCAAGTGAGTAGTAACACGAATATAATTTTTAAGTATCATTTTTAATCGTTCTACTTTTATTATATCATATTCGATTAATATGAAAGCGTTTTACAGGAATATAGTAACTCATATAATACGCGAGTTTGCATTAATTGAGGGTACTTGTTCTGAACACACGTGTGCGAAATTATCAAACGATCGATCTACTCTCGTGGTATATAATTAGATTATACATATATACATATATATATATATACATTAGTATATACTACATGCAAAAAGTATATATATATATACGTAATATATAGAGATAATATTCTACACATTAATCTGTTCCTGGATAAAAGTGACTAACACGTTTTATTATTCGTTCGTTAGGATATTTTTCTTTTTTTTTGTAATCTTCTTTTTTATCTTTATATCTTTATCTTTCTTCTTTATAATACAGACGAAACTCGATTATCCCCAATTATTCTTCCTTCTATTCGGCACACGTATATTACAGCATTATGTTTCACTATTTCCATGGTAATGGGAACTCAGCCGCGAATATCTGAGTGAATTCGAACGAAAGAGAAGCGTAATCGAGTTTGGATAATCGAGGTACCGCACTGTACGGAGTTGAATTCAATTTGACCGAGAATAAAGTGGATATAACCACTTGCGATCTTCCTCTCATCGTTTCTACGTATTTCTCTTTCTCTCTTTCCCTATTTCTATTTCTCTCTATTGTATAGTTCCCTTGTTTGTTAAAATACACGAGTAAAAACATATATATATATATACAGGATGTCCTACATAACTCTAGTCATGATTTTTCAAGTACTTCCGATAACCTGACAAAAAAATACTTTAAACAAAAGTTGATCTGTTTTTAATTGACTATACATTGCAATAAATAAAAAAGTTCGAAACAAATTTTTTTTTTTTTTTTTAATGTTTTTTAAAGCTACCTTCATCTTTTTAAATAGCTTTTATTGTTAGTATTTTTAAGTATTTAGCAAGCGGATTTTAATGATTTTTATATTAAATTAAAGTACACTCTTTTTTCTACGCGTAAAATACTTTGTCGAGTTATAAATCGATCTGCTGAGGTTCATAAAATATCAGAGAATGCAATACTGTAAACTTGTGCATCTTTGCAATTTCTTTGAAAAGTTCGGGTAAATATTATTTATACTTATAGAAAGCGGATTTTAATGATCTTTATATTAAATTAAAGTTCATACTTTTTTCTACGCGTAGAATATTTTGTCGAGTTATAAATCGATATGCAAAGGTTCATAAAATATCAGAGAATGCAATACTGTAAACTTGTGCATCTTTGTAATTTCTTTGAAAAGTTCGGGTAAATATTTTTTATACTAAAAGTGAATAGATTTTGATGACTCTTATATTAAATTAAATGTACACTCTTTTATCAACGCGTAGAATACTTTGTGGAGTTATAAATCGATCTGCAAAGGTTCGTACTAAGTGCTATTTAGAAAAATAAAGGTAGCCTTAAAAAACATTAAGCAAAAAATTTTTTTCGAACTTTTTTTTTATTGCAATGTATAGTCAATCATAAACAGATCAACTTTTGTTGAAAGTATTTTTTTGTCAGATTATCGTAAGTACTTAAAAAATTGTGACTAGAGTTATATGGGACACCTTGTATATATATATATATATATATATATTTATCGAGCAGACAATTAAACAAAAGAGAACTAATTTTAACCAATTTTTCTTCATTCCTATCGCATACACACAGACTCGTCGTATTGCCGATCGAAAGGCGAGTATATACATATTTAACAACACAACAACAACCACAACAACAAAATTTGTTACAAGTTTTATCGTAGCTTATCAAATTTAATTCTTTATTTTCATATTCTCTTTCTATTCTTCTCTAATTTCTCTTACTCCTGTGTCGTGTACTTTTATTAAGTATTAGATACTCATGCATATATACATACACGCATACGTAAACACACACACACGTATACATATACCTATCACCAATTTAAAAAAAGGAATTTGGAATGTATTTATGAGTTGTTCCAAGCATTATTATCGAACATACATATGTTATCACCATATTCATCGATTTTAAAATTCATTTCGTACGCATCGTGTTGCGTGTTTCGTTAATCGTAATTTTTATTTTAAATATTCTTTTTTTTTTTTTATCTCATCAATAAATCACTCCGAAGAAGGTTCGTTCGAAGGTCCCACAGATAATGAAGTTAAATTATTTGCACGATGATTACGAGCGTTTAGTAATACTCAGAAAGAGAACACTTGCGTTTCTTTTTTCTTTTTTCTCTCTCGAAAATTTATAATGACTACGAATAACGAGAGAAGAAAACACCATGCGTACTATCGTATAATTATTTGAATGAAAAAACGAAAAAAA